CGGGAAGAATGTAGCGCAACAGTTGAACGTCGGTTTCGATATGTGTAAGTCAAATGTCTCAAACTCTATTTCTCTTAGTGTCCGACCACGCTGACGCGGCAATGGATACTTAGGCGCGTGGGAGATTCTCGGCACCATGATGAACGGCGGAACACTTCACATCAGAGGCAGCGGCAATGATCTCTGGATGGATTGCCTGCAGCGCGTCGACACTGTCATCGCGACGCCTTCCGTAGTCCTCAAGCACATGCCCAGTCGCGAGGACTTCCCCAACATCAGGACGATCGCAGTCGGTGGTGAGCCCTGCCCATTGGCACTCGCTGAGCAGTGGGCGCCCTACGTGAAGTTCTGGAACGTATGCGGTCCTACCGAAATCAGCATTCTTAACACTGCGCATCTTCATAAGCCTGGCAAGACTTTGTCGATTGGCAAGCCTAACCCGAACACCAACGTTTACGTTCTCGACGAAGATGAGAACCCTGTCAAGATTGGCGAACCTGGCGTCATGTGGGCCGGCGGTCCAGGCGTTTCTAGGGGGTACCTCAACTTGCCGGAGTTGACGGCACAAAGATATAAGGTCGACAAGTTCGCAAAGGATGGGTTAGTTTTGCGCCTCGTTTTATTCCCTGTTCTTCCGGCCGAGACTTAAGAGAGAGAAAAGTACACTAACCAACACCATTCTCAGTCGTATGATGTTCAACACCGGCGACCTCGCCCGCTGGCTTGAAGATGGTAGCTTGGAGCCCCTCGGCCGGAAGGACGACCAGGTCAAGATTTCTGGCTTCCGCGTCGAGCTCGATGGTGTCTCTCGCGCTATTGAAAAATGCCCTGGCGTCGTCAAGGGATGTGCGCTGAAAATCGACGATCGTCTGTGGGGCTTCTACTCTGCCCCTGCGCCGATCGACGAAGCTCAGCTGAAGACTGTTGTCGGCGAGGGCCAACCGTTCTACGCCGTCCCGACCGTCTGGAAGTACCTCACCGTAATCGAGCTAACCCCCAACGGCAAGGTCGACAAGCGGGCCCTCCGCGACATCGCCGGTGGTGCGGCCCAGACTCCGCCGCCGCTGCCTCTGGCAGATATCCCGACGGGCATGTCGACGCCCCAGCAATCGTCGAGCGCCTCATCCATCAAGACGGCCGTCAGCCCCACCAGCGAAGGCGGCTTCACGCTCGTAGACTCTCGCACCTTCACTGTCGTCGATTCCCAGCAAAGGAACGTCGACCTGGAGAAGACGGCCGCATTCGTCGAGGAAGCGGCCGAGAAGGAGGAAGAAGAGTATGAACTCCCTTCCAAGAAGGGCTTCCACGGATGGAGATGGATCCGTCACCGCGGACTCAACGCCTACCGCAAGCTCTTTGGCGTCATCTTCCTCTCCAACCTCGCCGTTTTCGTGTGGATGCTGTATGAGAGCCGCAACAGCAACTTCTCCCTGCCCCTGAACCACCTGGCCACCGCCGTCGCCGCCAACCTTCTCGGGGCCGTTCTCCTGCGCCAGGACTACGTCGTCAACTTCATCTTCTGGGCGTGCTCCCGCGTGCCCACCTCTATGCCGCTCGCCATTCGCAGACACTTTGCGCGTGTCTACCACAATGGCGGCGTCCACTCGGGCTGCGCCGTCTCCGCCACCGTGTGGTGGGTCATCTTCACGGGCGCCGCAACCGGCAACTTCATCGCGCCTCAGTCCCTTTACTCTGTCAACCTCATCACCCTCGTCCTAACCTATCTCATCCTCCTCCTCCTCGTCATGATCCTCGTCATGGCCTACCCCTCTATCCGCGCCAAGATGCACGACCAATTCGAGTGGACGCACCGCTTCGCCGGTTGGTCGGCCCTCGCCCTCGTATGGGCCCACGTCATCGCCACGGCAGCCTCCATGTCCGCCGAGCCCCTCGGCCCGGCCCTGGCCAAGACACCCGCGCTCTACCTCGTGGCCCTTACATCCCTCAGCATCGCGCTGCCCTGGATGCGCCTCCGTCGCGTAAAGGTCGTCCCGGAGCCGCTCTCCAAGCACGCCGTCCGTCTGCACTTTGACTTCTGCACACCCGGGCCTTGCACCTCGCGCGGTGTCCGCATCACAGACAGACCCATGGTAGAATGGCACGCCTTCGCCGCCATCCCGGAGCCGAGCGGCAAGGGCTTCTCCATCGTCGTTTCCAAGGCCGGCGACTGGACCAAGCGCATCATCGAGAACCCGCCCACCTCGATCTGGACCCGCGGCACGCCTGCCTCAGGCGTCCTCGCCGTCGCTCCGCTCTTCAAGAAGATGGTCCTCGTCGCGACTGGCTCCGGCATCGGTCCCTGTCTTCCCGTTCTCATGGAGCGCCGGGTTCCCGCGCGCGTCGTCTGGTCGACCAAGAACCCGCTCAAGACGTACGGGCAGGGCGTCATGGATCTGATTCTCAAGGCGGATCCGGACGCGCTGATTTGGGATACGGACGAGCGCGGTAGGCCTGATTTGGTGCAGCTGGCGTATAATGTGTATAAGGAGAGCGAGGCCGAGTGCGTTGCGATTATTTCCAACGGGCCTACTGTGAATAAGTTTGTGTATCGGATGGAGGCGAGGGGGATTCCTGCGTTTGGACCGATTTGGGATTCATAAGCGTTGCGTTGTTTTCTATTCTTTTTTCTTTTACCCTCATGTTGTTTTTTGGGCGGAATTATCCTTCGCTGAGTATCATACCAAAGTCATTTCATTGTTCTCGTATAAATTAGCATCTAGTCTAACCCGTCTCTCGTATCTTGGACGAGCTGTAGACTGTCAAATACCAATCTGAATCCATAATCATCATCGTCTGTATCTCGGCTTGCTTGTGTTCAGTCCTTGCGTGACATCCATTTCATTTACCCCTCATGTAATCGCTCGAGAGACCGACGTCATTTCTCTAAACCAGAAACTGGCAATGCTTGTGGATCCCTCCACTCATGTTGACTGGCACGTGTAAGATCGGGCGGAGGCCAATGCAAAATAAGACTAGGTAATCGCAATTGCCTCCACAAATAGTTAATTGCCGTGATATCAAGGACGACAGAAGCTTGGCTGCTAGTTTACCAGTCAACCTTTATGCAGTCTTGTACGCTTTGGTATCACTCGTACGATGTCATCTCATAATTTTCTGAAGAGGCTCTCTTCTACACGTGCTGAAAAGACAACCTTTGAGAACTAATACGTCAAGATTCCGTTCCCGCGTAAGTCAACTCAAGGTACGGGGCTTTTTTAGACTTAGAATCGCAAGGTGTAAATGAAAGACAGTTTGTTGGATTCTGCGTAGGTAGTCGGACACGAAAAGCGGTCGGGGCCGTACCAACTGTTCTTCCACTTAAGGTACTTACAACTTCCTGGGCAACAGTCTGGTGACATCGCCCAATTCCTCCTCCTCCCATACAACTTACTCAGCAAAACAATCAAATATTGACATTCGTACCAACGGTACGGTTACCCTACTGACGTGTATACCAACACCGTTTCTCTCATCCAGACAACCCCTGTGTGTCTGGGTACGTGGCAGTGTATCAAGCACGCAGAACAAACGAGTTGGTTCCTAGTCTACTTGCCTAGTTGACACGGAGACTGGAACACAGTATCAGCTATCATGGCAGCAAGATGTGTCGGAGCGAACGAGATCGGAATAGAGTAGCGTTACATACCGCGTGCCGCCGGAACTCCCGTCGCCTCAATTTCTTCCGGCCCAGTGGGATGAAGATATTGTGGGCTTGCCGTCTTGGAGTTGTAGCGTTAAATTGTACAAGGAACAAGGTAGCACGCTCATGAGTCGCCAATGTTCCCATCCGCATACAAGCTTTTCGGCACTCGAGTCCCATGCAATATTTCCAAAATCGGCAAGTATAGTACTCGAATAGTTAGCTAGGTGGGATGTCGCGAGTTGATACCGACTGATTCTACACATTGACTTTGATAGCCGATCCAAGACGCCTCAAGCGTAGCTGACCAGACAAGCGGGTTTTCAACGTGGTCAACAGGGGAAAGAAGTATTTGAGTCAATACTCAAAATGAAGTGGATTGTTTTCTATCTTTATTATTCGTATGGGAATCGTTTCCTAAACAGGCAAGTCAGCATCGTTCAGAATACGAATACTAGAGTTTTCCACACTCAAGACAAACCGTCCAATTAACGGGTCCCAAAACAACGGTCACTGCGCCTCATGATGCACGACGGCGGGGAGAAATGCGCTTTTGGTGAGAACTAAGTTCTGTCACCCGGTTATCAAACTCACAGAAGCGGCAAATGGTTGTCTGCCTTTTGGCAGCTTGACATTTCAGTTCACGGCGCTGACAACTCACAACTTCAACCACATGAGTGCGATTGATGTCGCCATGGGAGAACTATGATCCCGGCGAAGTTTTCCATATCGCCTGAGTGACGAGACCGAAGCCGGAGCCAGACTTGGAACTTGCTCAACCTCTAGTGCAGCCTTTGGGGTAGAACAAGACAAATACGCGGAAATAGGCAGCTGAATCGCGGTCTGCATCCATAGGCTTACGTAGCCCTCCCCACCGGAATGAACCACTGCCGGAACGTCTTTGGAAGCACTTCATCCCATATTTCGCGACGGGCTTGCCGTGCGTGGTTCGTCGCTGACATTTCGTGTCATTCGTATTAGGCCCGAGCTGATCAGCGTTGTGTTGCTGACGGTATGTCCGCTTTTTTCGAGCATGCCCGCAATCTGACGAAAAATCCCATCTTTTGAAACGATCTACAGAGGGGCGGGTTGAGAATCGTTCAATGTTCTGAAGCACTCTGCGGTTGAGAGTTTATTGTTTTGCCCCCAGCGGCCCATGCAGATCCCACATAGACACACATCTGCGCTCCGCTTCCATGACACCCAGTCCCGACATCAACTTGTCAACATAGGGCAGAAGCGGGAACAATGACAGATCATCGAACATGTTTGACACCCCCCCCCCCCTGGAGGCCAGACCAAGACGCGGCGGCTGCACAGCCCGGAAAGTTTCGTAGAGAGTCATTAATGGCCGTGCTGACTATGTTTGTTGATCGCCGCGGATGGCAACGAACCAAAACGGTCCTCACGCGCGCGCAAAAGCTGCTGGCTGCAGTCCTTTTCGTATCCCCGTATCCGTTTCTTTTCTTACCCAGCCGGAAAAAGGCCTCTGCTAATTCTTTTTTTGCATACTCCTTCCTGCGCGTCATTCAACTCGAACCTCTTTGATCTTCTCTCAATCTAATCTTTTTCACTCGCAAGAAAGGGACCCAACTCATCTTTTCTTTCCAAATCTTGAAAGTTCGAATCAAAACGTCCTCTCATCTACAACCTTCTGAGAGCGCGCTAGACCATGTCAACGCGCTCGACACAAACCGTCCTAGAGACGCCGACGATACTAAGGAAGAGATCGGGTTTTCTGGTCCTCGCCGAATATGACAAAGCCGGCGCTCTAAAGACCAAGTATATCGAGTCGGCTCCGACTGCCGGATCATCTAAGGTCGATCTCACGGTAAGCTCCGCGAACAACATGGAGGACCCCTGGTCCCCCTCATTCTATCGATATCTTGCTGGGAGACAGGGGAGAGTTTGCATGTGATTTGACACTCGTTCGCGTAGCTCCCTCCCAGAAGAAAGAAGCCTTGGCAAGAGCTTCTCGAAATCTTTTTGCCAGATGGCTATCCGCATAGCGTTACAGATGACTATGCTGAATATCAGATTTATGTGAGTAAACACCGATGCGGACGAAGAGGTATCCAATCTAGCTCACACCTTAGTAGGACTCTCTTCAAGCTTTTGCTGGCACAATTGCCGGCATGATTTCCTCGCGTGCTGTTTGGCAAGGTAAGAACTTCTCTGCGTTGTCCCGGCTAATCTTGCCCTCCCTCCCTCCCTCAATCATCCTTATCTTGCTATGTGCTGACCACCAAAAAGGTCTGGGTGTTGGAGACTCATTAGCGTCACCAACTGGGGCTATGCTCATCCAAGTCACTCGAGAGTCTATGGGAAGGCTCGCAACCATCACGTTCGCTCATCTGTTTGCGACTTCAATTGAAGCAGAATGCAAGGCTTACCGCATGGCCTGTGACCTGTTGACCGACTCGGCAATGGTTCTCGACTGCGCATCTCCCTATTTCCCGCAAGAAGCCAGGTTTTTGGTTCTCTGTCTCTCTAGCATTCTATACTCCGCATCCGGCGTCGTTGGGAACGCATCAAAAAGCAGTCTTAGTGGTCACTTTGCCAAATGGAACAATCTCGGCGAGCTCAATGCTGTAAGTTCTAGGACTTATCACAGGGGAGACGCGTGCAAGATTAGAGTTGCTAACAGTACGCAGAAAGATGCCAGCCAGGAGACAGCCATTTCTCTGATAGGAATGCTTGTAAGTTGACATGAAGATGAATCTACCCCGAAAGCTTTGGCCTTTACTAACATATGCATAGACGGGAACGTTGTTGTTGTATTTCCTGACCGACGAAACATTATCGTGGATCGTGCTCTTTGTCCTCCTTGGCGTTCACCTTCTTCTCAACTGGAGGGGCGTTCGAGCAGTACACTCACGTCAGCTAAATCGTCAACGTGCCAACATTGCTCTGTCGGCACTATTTTCGAAAGACGAAGTCCTCACACCACTGAAAGTTTCCCACAGAGAACTCATCTTCGAGAAGCGAAGGGGAGAAGTCTTTCGCTGGAACTCCGGGCCAGTGTTTGGCCACTGCAAGTACGGAGTGCCCCTCAAGACCCTGCTTGAAGCCTTGGCCTATGGGAAGACCCATGAGATGTCCTTCCAGCTTTCAAGTGTTGACCTGTATACACTCATGGATGCATTCGACCGCGAGGAGTACGTTCTCTGGTGTCAGTTATCAACCGCGGCCAACGATGCGGCCTCAAGAATCAAAGTTATTGTCGTCCTGAAAGAAGGGGTGACGCCGAGGTCACAGCTGAAAGCTTGGTTCCATGGTCTGTTGCTGGCCAGAAGACTCAGCGGACAGGAAGAAGCGAACTTGGTGCGAGCTGAATTCGACCAGCAAGCAATGTTGTGCCACGTGGAGGAGAGTTTGCAAATCGCCAATGAAAAGTACGAGCTGTACGCGAGGAGACTGGCTTCTGCGGGCTGGAACATCGAGGTTCCTGTGCTGGAGACCCGAGCAGGCTCTCGCATTGTTCGGGAGCCTGACGAGATGACATCGCACTGAGTTATTTCGCCGGTCGCGGGGGTTGAGGAGACGATCTAGATGGTCGGGGTCAAACCTGCAACCGTTAGATTTGGTCTGAAGTTAAAACATGCAGCATAGCGTCACTGTGTCACAGTCATCTTCAATATCATCAGGTCTGCCTGAAATAGCTACCTCACGTCGTATTTCTCTGAGGTGCGTCTGATGATTTGCAGTATCAGCCCGTCCAGGTAGATATGCTTGTATAGATCAGCAGATTACCACCTTGATGATGCATTCTGAGCCGGATGCGAACAATGTTTGCGACTTATTGCTGCAACATCAAAGGATAACCCCAGAACTCTATGCGAACGACACGTGGGATTTTGGAAGTGTGTTGTGGGAACACCAAACACACGCAGATGCGCAGTTGGCAGCGACAGCCCACACCATACCGATCAGCGCGGCCCGGATGTCTGCCGACCCATCTCTGGGTTATTCTGTATCTTTTCTTTGCATTATTTGAAATTGGCAAGGTTATTCTGCTCAGTAGACTTGATACTCTACCGTGCACGTAGGCCTCCCGGCTGTGCTCGAGTAACGACAAAGCAAATTTAAGGTCGCTTTCGCGTTAGGAGATTTTAGGGGTTTCTACGTTGTTAGATTATGCTCAGGCCAATCTCGCTATCGGTAATTTGTTGATCGTCTTGGTCCCGTCTGCGACACTCGTCAGTCCCGACACCCCGTTCAACCCGTCCCGGCTCCCTACTGTTCCTGGTGTCAAGCGGTGCCGCTACTTGGCACGCCAATGCGCCTAAAACGCCATGGCGGTGACCGTGCTGGTCTCCGTCTGCGTACACCGTACGCTGTCAGTGGCCGCATTGCTCACTATGTTGGCCCAGGTCACTACCACACCTCTACCCTCTTTCTTTGCTACCTTATAATCTTGTTCATATGAAGATCACATCCCAGCTGGCTCATGGTGGAAAAATCCAGTCAAACACCCAAGCCTTGGGGGCCTGTGCTCAGTTGAACTGAACTGAACCCTCTCACACTGAACAGTAACCGAACCAACTGTGGTGGACTGAGAAATTCGACTTCTACTGTAGTATTGATCAGAGGATTGGGGAATTTTCGATATTTGATTGTGTGAAGAATCATTCGACGTTGTTGGGTTGAGCGCTGTCGAGAAGCTCCGAAACGCGCTACGTGGCACTAGCACGATCTACCGCGTGGCGTCTCTGCGCACGTCCCGACGCGATGGATCTCGAGCTAGATTCGACGTCCATCACCGTTGCGAGGGAGGCGGTGGCAGCGAGCGACGAGGACCTGCCATCACGAAGGGTGCGAAAGCCATCCGCGAAAGCCCAACTGAACCAGACTCATCAAGAGATAATCGACAATGCGACCGACGGAGCGACGGAGGTTGCTGGTGGTGGCCGGCGGACGACGACCAAGCGAGCCACAACCCTGGCCAAGGAACGCGCGAAACCCATAGAGGATGACGACAAAGGGCTGCTCCTGACGATGGGCAAGCAGGTCAAAGAGCTACACACAGCGGTCAAGATCATGTTCGATGCGTGGAAGAAGTCGGAAGCACGGAATAAAAACGTTGAGGCAGAGCTTCGCGTGGTCACTTCGGAGCTGCAAACAGTCAAGAGCGAGCTACAGGCCGTCAAAGGAGAGCTGCAAGCGATGAAAGAACGCGTGGAGGACGAAAGCGCCAAGACGAACGAAAACCTCGAAGCACTCGCAACAGTTGCTGCGACGCGGAACAGCCCAAGTGTGTCCTACGCGGACGTCGCGCGAAGCGGCTTAGGTGGGCAAGGTCGCGACTCGCGGGTAGCCACGGCGGGCAACGCGACGCTGCCGAGCCGCAGCGACCCCTTCTGTACGATCGATACATCAAGAGTTGAAGAAGGCAGCGACAAGCTCAACCCAGGCCGGATCCGGGCTGCGGTGGAAAAGGAGATGCGCGCGTTGGACGGACAGGGTAGCTGGCGGTGTCTGGCCGTCACGGTAGACCCAAGGAACGCGGATAGGATCCGGATCATTTGTCGCGACGATGCGGAGCATAGGTATGTCAAGCAGATCGCGGAGAAGAGCTTCGGCCGTGGAGCACGCGTGCTACGAGACGAACTCTATCCCGTGAAGATCGACAACGTGAAGCGAATTGAGGTACTGGATGAGAAGGGCAATGTCAGGGCTGAAGCGGCGGAGGCACTTAGCCGAGAAAACGAGACCACGGTTGCCAAGATTTCTTGGCTTAGCAAGAAAGAGATACCCAAGGCGTATGGGTCCATGGTCGTGTTCGTGACCAAGGCCGGTGATGCGCGTAGACTGATCTCCGAGGGCTTCTTCCACGTTGGAGGAGAGTCCGGCACGACGATGGCGTTTGAACGGCGGCCGCGCCCCCAGCAGTGCTACAACTGCCAGCAGATCACGAAGCACAAGGCGTACCAGTGCGTAAACCCCCGGGTGTGTGGACGATGCGCCAAGGTAGGCCACCACCACTCTGAATGCCGTGAGACGATCGTGACATGTGTGCCCTGTGGCGGACCGCACGAGTCGTTCAGCAAGAACTGTCCGAAGCTGTATCCGCGTTCCCATGAGTAGGAAGGTCCAGATCCTTCAGCTCAACGTGAGGAAACAGGCTGCAGTGCACGAAAGTCTGATGAATGATGAGGCGTTGCGCGACTTCACGGCCATAGCGGTGCAGGAGCCATGGGCGCGGAGGATAGAAGGTAAGGTCATTACGGTTCCGATGGGCAATAGCAGGTGGACGAGGATGGTACCAACGGAGTGGAGGGACGAAGGAAGATGGGGAATCAGGAGTTTGCTTTGGGTGAACAGAGACGTAGAGACAGAGCAGCTGCCGATAGCGTCCTCGGATATCACTGCGGCCATCGTCCGGCTTCCGGATCGAAGACTGATAGTGGCGTCGGTGTACGTGCCGGTGCAGAGGCCGGAGATGCTGCGGCAGGCGTGCGACCTGCTGAGACAAGCTATCACGAATGTCCGAGGAGGAACAGGGGAGAGGGTGGACGTGGTTCTGGTAGGAGACTTCAACTGCCACGACTACCTGTGGGGAGGTGACGATGTGTCGGAGGGCCGGCAGGGCGAGGCGGACCCGATCATCGATCTAATGAGCGAGTACTCGCTCCGCAGCCTCCTTCCGCGTGGCACGAAGACGTGGGAGAAGAACGATGCGGCAACGACGATCGACCTATCCCTCGCGTCCGAAGAGCTAGCAAGAACGGTGGTACGATGCGGCCTGCACGAGACGGACCACGGGTCGGACCACCGGGCGATCGAGACGACCTTCGACATCGCCGCGCCTGAGATGGAAAGCCGGCCACGGCTCCTCCTCAAGAACGCCCCATGGAAGCAAATCAATGAGAGAGTAGAAGCAAACCTAGGGCGAATGCCAACAGGAGGTACGGTGCAGCAACAGACGGATCGACTGATGTCTGTGGTGTGCGAGGCAGTAGAGGCACTGACACCTACGGCCAAGCCATCACCGTATGCAAAGAGATGGTGGACGGCTGACCTCACCCAGCTCCGGCAGATCCATACCCACTGGAGAAACCGGGCGAGAGCGGAGAGAAGGGCAGGTAACAGTCAACCTGAACTGGAGCAACGCGCACGCTCGGCAGCCAAGCAATATCACGATGCCATCCGACAACAGAAGAAGAGCCATTGGGAGGACTTTCTGGCCGACGACGCCAATATCTGGAAGGCCGCGAAGTATCTCGACGCCAGTAAAGGGGCATCTTTCGACAAGATACCTCAACTTAAAAGGGCGGATGGTTCCCAAACGGGAGACGCCGCAGAACAGGCCGAAGAGCTGCTCTCCACATTTTTCCCTCCTCTCCCCAGCATGATCGAGGAGGAGGGGGATCGGCCACAACGATCGCCGGTACCCTTCCCTAACCTCACACTGGAGAAGTAGAGAGACAGCTCTTTGCGGCAAAGTCGTGGAAAGCACCCGGAGAGGACGGTCTGCCGGTGGCAGTGTGGAAGCACACGTGGCCAGTGGTGAAGGAGAGGGTGCTTACACTCTTCCAGACCTCACTGGATGAAGGGGTGTTGCCGAGGCAGTGGCGACACGCAAAGATCATCCCGCTGAAGAAGCCAAACAAAAGCGACTACGGTATAGCGAAGGCCTGGCGACCGATCTCGCTTCTCTCGACGCTCGGAAAAGTGCTGGAGTCGGTCCTGGCAGAACGTATCTCGCACGCTGTCGAGACGTTCGGCCTCCTTCCCACGAGCCACTTTGGCGCTCGCAAGCAGAGGTCGGCAGAGCAGGCGCTGGTACTGCTGCAGGAGTACATCTACAGAGCGTGGAGAAAGAGAAAGGTGGTCAGTCTGGTCAGCTTCGATGTCAAGGGAGCATACAATGGTGTGTACAAAGAGAGACTACTTCAAAGACTCAGAGCGCGGGGATCCCGGACAAGCTGGTGAGATGGGTGGACGCCTTCTGCTCCCATAGAACGGCAAGCATCCTGGTTAACGGTCACGAGTCCGAGGCTCGTCCGCTACCACAAGCCGGACTGCCTCAGGGTTCGCCGCTTTCGCCCGTGCTCTTCCTCTTCTTCAACGCCGATCTCGTACAGCACCAAATCGACGAGAACGGGGGCGCGCTGGCCTTCGTCGATGACTACACGGCGTGGGTCACAGGCCGATCGCGCGAAGCAAACCGTCAGGGCATCCAAGATATTATCGATCGAGCACTCGCGTGGGAACGACGAAGCGGGGCGACGTTCGAGACGGACAAGACGGCCATCATCCACTTCACGCGCAACTGGAGGCTGCCGGCGGACTCAACCAGCTTCGTCATCAAAGGTGACACTGTCCGAGCAAAGGACCACGTCAAAGTATTGGGAGTGATGATGGACACGAAACTCCGTTTCGAAAAGCACATCGCAGACGCGACGACAAAAGGGCTGGAGGCCGTGCTGGGGCTCAAACGGCTCAAAGGCCTGTCTCCGGCGACGGCCAGACAGCTTTTCGTGGCGGCCGTAGCACCGACGATGGACTACGCGTCGAACGTCTGGAGGTACAGGTGTCGAGCAGCGCAGATGAGGGTGATCAACCGAGTGCAGAGGATTGGCGCCCAAGCGATCGTGGGAACCTTCAACACGGTGGCCACGGCGGTCGCTGAAG